GTGCTTTCCAGGTACCTTGGGGTGCCTTGGTTCCCTGTGAAAACTCAGGTGACCGTTTCTCGTGTAACACCTCTTCCCACAAGGAAAGAATGAGAGGTGTTTTGTTTGCTAGCCTCCCACTGTGTCCCTTGAGGAAGGACCAATTTGTTGTCTAAATACCACTAGAGTCCCCTTTTAATTCATCACCCTGCCTTGTCCTGTGGCCCACTTATCTTCCTGGGGAATGTAGACTGCTCTTAATGTCTCCTCAGGAACTGCAAATAGGACGAGAGCCTGAAGGATCTGTGCAGCTGTCCTTTGTCGCTTCTCAGTCTGCCTTTTGATCTCCCAAGGAGACTTCTGTTGGGTGCCCTTTACAGTGCGTGACTGCAGCCTGCTTGGGAAGACGGCCTCCTCTGGGAGTTGCGGAATTTCCTGTCTGTGCTTCCTAGGTGAGTGCCTATTAGTCGGTAAGCCCTTCTTCTCAGATCGCTGCGTGGGCATGTAGCACTGAAAAGGGGTAATTGGAGTCCGTGTGGTATTTCACTTTCTGCTTTTTCCTAATGTCAATGCCTGAGTAACAGCTATTAGCTCTGCCTTTTAAGCAGCGCTTCCTGGCGGGAGAGGTTTAGCTTCAATAGTTGGTTGTGCATCGACAATGGCAATCTGAATTTTGATGTCCTTCTTGGACACAGCAACTTGCGTCAGTGAACTGCATCCCCTCAGGGCCTTGGCGAGGCAATCACTGATGTCAGTCCTGTTGCATAGGTCTGAGAGGGCACTTGTTCACAGGAGTAGCTAACTTCTGGGCCTATATGCAGCAAGGAGCAGGTTAATAGTGCTCGTTTTTTTTTTTTATAATAACATCAGTGGTGTCTAAGCTCATGGCCTGGTACTTAGTAAGCCATTTCCCTGTCAACAGCAGGTAATCTTTTGTCTCCAGAATAATTCTGACCTGAAGGGGAGTTAAGGTTCTACACTCTGTGCCAAAATGAATTTTGCAGCTTCCTCTTTGAGCATATCTGTAGCTGCTACTGCTCTCAGGAAGAGTGGTCATCCAACAGCTTCTCCATTTAATTTTTTTTTGAAAAGTATCCTTCTGGGTGGGT